ACTTCAGGAGCTCATTACATATAAACTAGCAAGGCAGGGTTTACGTGCAAAACTTTTTGTGAGGATATAGTTCATTGAGAGCACAACGTTTCAGTCAGCAAAAGACTTTGCTTCCTGTCCAGGGGAAATGCATCTTCAAGATGGCAAAAGGCAATGCTAGTCAGCAGAGGTGCGGTGACACAAATGTGCTTTAGCGCGGCTGTCATCTGAACTGGTGTATATCAGAAAAATGGTACACATCATGTTTCTGCATTCAAAGCAGTCTTACAGTTGTATGTGATTTATGTTATGTAATGAAATATTTAAGTTGATTGCTATTTCCAGCTCCCACTAATGCTTTGTAGATGCTTCTGACTTTGATGCTTTTACAAACAGAGGTTTTTATAGGCCTGAATATTTTCTATGAAACCAGCAACCAAGCCTCTACTTCTATTTTCTATTTCAGTCTATCGTGTTTATAGGGATATTTTTCAAATACTGTAGAGATGCTGATAGTTATATTAATTCACGAATCAAGAGGGTGTTTTATGAGACCTATTTCCCCCAAGAAATTTCAGCATGAGATGGTGCAGATATTCTCAAGCAAGGAATTGCAAGCACTTTTGTTTCAGTGGCTTTAATTTTAGAGGCTTTTTTTAAATTTTTTTCTCCTCTGCAAAGTATCTATAGAAATGACAGCCTTTCATTTAATAGATCTTTTTGCTATGTTGACTATCTGTTTGCTTCATTGGCAAACTTTTCTCCCTTGTTTACTTCCACTAGCCCTGTAGGTTCCACCTCGGTAAAAGAGATTGACTGTCTCCTCAAGCACCGTTGTTCAAAGGGATCCCTAGCACTTTCCGAGAGGTGCACAGCTCTCTGTAAAAGTCACTTCTGTCCAGGAATTTATTCTTTGTGTGGACATCTAAAAGCAAACAAACAAACGCCGTTAATCTCAGAGTGCAAATGGATTTTGTAGGGCTGAAAATTAACAGGAACATCTATCTATTTGTATCCTAAGAACAAAGGAAAATCACTGAATAAACATAAAAACAAGAATAAACAGGAAACCCTGCAATGGAAAGAGTAAAATTGCGTAACACGGATAGAGATTGAAACTATTCCAGCAGCTGTAAGCACAAGTTGTGTTTTGGCAGTGCCTGTCACGCTGTTGTCCGGAGAGGAATCTGAGACAGCTGGTTTAGAGTAAGGGCATACCTCTGTGCTTACTGGAACAAGGGGGATGAAACTCAGCCTAAAAGATTTAAGAGTCTAAGTCCCAGTTCTTGAAGAGAAACATTTGGTGAGGCTTCCATTCCTAAGTCTTTTTAGAAAGTGGGACTTGGACTCTTGCCATGACAAATGAAAGTCCTAAAAATAACTCACTGATTTATAAATATCCTCCTTGCTATTCCAGTGCTGTTAGTACCCAAGTGACTTTGAAAGTGGCATTTAAACTTCTCAGTCATAGAGTTATCAAGAAGGAACTCAATTAATATCTAGTCTAACTAAGACAGGATTTACTCAAACTATCCCTGACAGATATTTGTCTGACTTGGTCTCAAAATCCTTCTGTGGCGGAGATGCCAACAGCCTCCTCAGGCAAACTATTACTGTACTTGACTATCCACATCAATAGTAAGTTTTTCCTCATGTCTAATGTGAATCTCCCGTGTTGTGGTTTAAGCCTATTTGGTGTCCTGTCCCTTGTGGACGTTTCATAGCCTTTCAGACATCTGAATAACATTATCACATATTCCCTCATTCGTCTCTTTATAGCCTTAGCTGAGCCTAAAAAAATGTCCCCTTAGGCACCGTGAACATTTTTACCTAAAGCCAGCTTATAAAGTAGAGCTGCTTTGTTAATGCCTTTATCAAATAGCAATTTAAGGATAAAAGTGTAGTGTAATGGCATATGGCAGGAAAGCCCGATACAACTGTGTCCACTTCAGAGACTTTATGGTTTAAATGGAAATTTGGGGTTGTATCACTTGCCCAGATTTTTACTTGCTGGGATGTCCATATTGGGATATCAAAATTCTTAGGAAGTAGCTACCTTATTCTCATTCAAGTTACTCATCTGGTGTATTGCTTCTGCAGCTAAGGCTCACATCTCTGCACTGTGTTGCATGCTGCCAGATGGATGGAACAGCTTACTTGCAGCAACTCACTAACTTCTGCAACACTGCAGGCTTTCTGAAGCAAGGTCTGCCTTTTTGCCTTACACAACACCAAGCAGAACGAAGCCTGACCTAGTCATGTCCAGGCCCACAAACAGTTACGATGAAGTTAAAAGTATACATGTTAAGGAATAGTACTGTCTTCCCCTGAAGCAGCTTCCACTCAGTGTGAACCACTTTTTTCCTGCCCTTATTGACTGACAAGATTTGGAAAGTTTGTATTCATTTTCTGCCACTTGGGTTATGTGGCATGACAGAAAGTTTGTACAGATGTTACTTCCTTGTATTTTTAGAAGTAGTAGCAGTGCTTACTGGTTTATTCAAGTGGATGGAGAAACGCAGCTTCAGGAGCGTACCCACATCATGCCTACCTACCTTTGGGTATCAGGTCCGGGGAGGGGGATAAGAGGACCATCAAAAAAGAGCATCGCACACTATGACCTCCAAAAGCAGCAGAGTGGGTTTCCTTGTTGAATTTCTGCTTGGAATGTATTTTTAATGTTTGGAAGTGTCAGCTCTGCTGAGGTGGCATCTCAGGTTTTAAATTAATATCGTTGTAATGCATTTCTCTTTAATTAAAAAAGAGAGCTCCCCTGTAGGAAATTTCCTAAAACAAAACTCATTAGTAATAAACAGATTAAATGTTTATCAGTTAATCAACACTATAAACTTCTGAGTGTTCAGAGACTGGCATGAGATAACACTGTCGTCATAAGAAGAGTGAAATCATTAGGGATCCCACCGTGCCGTTTGGGTGGTGAGAAAATAATGATTGAAGATGAGCCCCCTTACAGAGCTCACATGTGAATTCCCCTAAAGATTAAAGCTGCAAAGATCTGGATTTTATGTTGGCCCCAACTCTAAAGCATTTTTTTGTAAATAGTGAGCAATAGTGTTAAGCAATACCAAGCAAATTCTTAATGATGCTGATACCAGAACCTGTCATGATGCCACAAAATTTTTGAGGTTAGCGAAAGTTTAGGGACTGTTCATGGAATGGGAGCCTCTCTGCCTTCTCAGAGCACCCGTTCCCAGCTGGTCTCTCTGAGACTTTAACCTGTGGTGGAGACTGCACTGCAAATTCCTCATCGTCCTCCACTGAATCCTCAACACCGTCACCTCATTTCCATCAGGACTATGGCAATCCTCTCATCATGCATGTGAGGGAGTTCTGCTCTGGTTCAGCTGTCTCGTGGGGATAAAGAGCACAACCTGCTGTGCAGATGGAAGGGACAATGTAGCTTTGGGCAGGGACCTCTTTGAAGAAGTGTGGGGAGAGGCAGGGGCATAATGGAGCGGGAGAGGACAAAGCTTGTATGGCTGGTAGCGTATCAACAGCTCCTAACCCAGTATAATCTGAAGTCATATGCATTTAGAAAGTTACGCTAGAGAGGCACTGACATTTTCTCTGTCACTGCTGGGAATGTGTCAGAGCTCCTCTTGTGTCACCCTGGGGGGTTCTTTGGAGCCTTTGGGATAATTTGGGTTCTTTCCATGAACTCTATGAAAAATAAAAGTAAGTGGGCTGAAATAAAAATAGGGGCAGTGAGAAAAATAAATCGTGTTTGTCCACATCCAGCAAACTTACTGGAATGGGCTAGTGAGAAGTTATGAGCAGGGGGATGGCGGCTGGGAGTTATACGTAACTATTTCCTTTTTGTTTCTCATCTTTGGCCTTCATTTGGTCACCGCAGCAATAACTGTGCATATTTTGTCACAAAAGAGTCAATGTAAATCAATTTTGTTGGGTCATGAATTACAGCAGTAATGATATTATCAAACATGTAAAGTTTGGAATGCATTTATTGTTTAAAATACACGTTGAAGGTTAGGTGACACTGTTGCCTCTAGACGTCTAAATCAAATGCTCTGTTGGAGTACAAGGGAATTGGCCATTCTTATTTTATTCTTCATATACTTATGTTGTATTACAAAACATAGCCTGCTTGATAGATGCCTGTTCTGGAAAAACAGAAGTCCCAGTTTCTGCCCCTTCATTAAAACCGAGTCCATAGGCAGCTGATAAACAAGAACTCCTGTGGATGGTCCTATTTAAAAGGCAGGAACTGAACTGCACTGATTGATTTCAGAGGCATTGGAGACTGTCTCTCTTTAGAAGTCTTTAGCTACCATGGCACTATCACTTTTGATAATCAGATGGTAGGTGTCCACACTTTTCTGTCACTTGGTCCAGCTGGACCTCTCTGTGCAAAAATCACAAGTTTTAAAAATATCCCTTTCTTTTCCTCATATTGTAACATGCCTTCATGGAGTATATTTCCAAGCTTATTTTGCAGGGGTAAATTGTTTGTAACAACTTCCTTCGTATTCATAATTACGGTCAGCTCTTTCACCTGTGAATTAAAACCTTTTGTTAAATACCTTTATGAAATGCTAGGTACAGATTTACTGGGAGGGGAATGAGAGGATAAAAGAGCTGTTGCTTTCTTATTAACAGCTACATAATGCATTGCTGTGCCACATGTTTGGGACTGCCTCTGCCTTTTGAATCTTGTTTGTGCATTTGAAGAAAGAAGCACAGATACTTTTTGTTTTGCTTTTTTTAAATACTAGAGTGAAAGTATCACTTTCTATCAAGAGACCAAATGTCCTGGCTTGGGAAAATGGGCTGCTGGCAAGGGTCCATGCAATCTGTCTGATCATACAGCTTTTCTACAATACTGTTTCTGTCATTCACAGGGTGGGTGATCTTCAGATCTCAGTCGAAGGATCTTTAACTCCCTGCTGAAAAAGGAGAACGCGTCCCATGATTATCATCATTTATCTATTCATCTTGTCCTCCTTACTTTTTCTTTTCTCTTATTTTCTTTTCAGGATGGAGTAGGTGTAGATGAGAAGCTGTCTTTACGACGGGTAGCCGTGGTAGAAGATTTCTTTGACATTATCTATTCCATGCATGTTGAAACTGGGCCTAATGGAGAACAAATCAGAAAACATGCTGGACAAAAGAGAACGTATAAAGCAGTAAGTAAAGAAACCCAATCAACCAACTAAAAGTGAACGTCAGTCTCTAAAAGCATGAATTATTTGGGCTTAGGCATGTGGCATGCGATTTGTGTTTTTTCCAGCTGGATTAGTACTGCAGTCCTCACCCTCAAATTTATTTCAGAGATCTTTCAATACTGCATGAAAACATACAGTTTAAAAATAACATTTTCTCTGTGATAAGGACCAGATCCATTGACTTCAATAGAGATTTTCGCATTGGTACAAGCAGCGAATTTATTCTTTCTATAGTGGTTTGAGTATTTCTCAAATAACTCTATATTAATTGTTTGTTATTAAATGGATGAAGTCTTAAAGAAGGCTTGGAAAGTATTGCCACAACTTTGCTAAATGAGGTGCTGTACTTCAGCATGTAAATGAACTTGCCTTATAGTTTGTCACTGCAGACTAAGTATACTTAATGATTTAATGGTATGAAAACTTGTATATCCTAAATTCAAAATGCCAGAAAGCTACTAGGTACAATGAGGGAGGTGTTGAGAGGGAAGCTCTCACACCTGCATAAACTGGCTGAGTAGAGAGAAATTATTATTATTTCTAAGATTTTTAATTGCATGTTGTTGCTTGACTTAACCAGTTCAGCCACTGCCTTAAAATAGCTGTAAATAGCTTTTGTGGTTAGTAGCACAGGTATAACACTTTCTTTTCTTTTGAAGAGCTAATGAAACATTTACTGCACTTTCCCAAGGTGCTTAAAATGTGTGTGCTTGCCTGGGTTTGGATGGCCAAACTTCCATGTGCAGGGCTGTGACATTGCTGGGCTCGCTCAGTGGTTGATCCTGATCCACGTACCCAGCTGTTTCCAGCTGCTGGAGCACCGGAGGCTCCACCAGGGCGGCAGGGCAGGGGCTCCCAGCCAGGGCTCATCCCACTACCCTGACCAGGGTACGGGGCGTCCAGGGCACCTCTCACAGAATCACACAGAATCACAGAATGGTAGGGGTTGGAAGGGACCTCTGTGTGTCATCTAGTCCAACCCTCCTGCCGAAGCAGGGTCACCTACAGCAGGCTGCAGAGGACCTTGTCCAGGCAGGTCTTGAATATCTCCAGAGAAGGAGACTCCCCAACCCCCCTAAGGAGGCTCCACATCCTCCCTGGGCAGCCTTTTCCAGTGCTCCGTCACCCTCAGAGGGAAGAAGGTCTTCCTCATGTTCAGACGGAGCTCTCCCCATGGCCTTGGCGAGACAGGGCCATCAGGGGTTGCACACAGGGCCCTGGGGTGACCTATCACCCTGAACACAGTGTGCTTCACGTTAAAAACAACCCACAGTGATGTCAGCCATTTTTCATCAGAGGTCACCAAAAGGTGTGGGATCTCCAGGTTTCTGATACCCACGTCTTCAATTTTAGCTCTAAGAAATAGCTATTTTTCCATTACTGTTTTTTTCAGGTATATAAAAAACTTTACTATGTATCTGGGAATCCCTGCACAGATATTTTATTTATAGGCTATTTCAGATGGTTTGTGGTGGGATAGGCTCTTGGCAAGATTTCTTATAATTTGTTCCCGGCAGTATTGACCTTAAGATAGATGTATGAAGGAAGACACCAGTCATCTGGGTGTGATTTGGAAGGCTTAGAGTGGTATTTCAGGGTGAGCAAACACAGACTGTCTAAATTTATTTTAATCTGTCACCTTGGCCATTTTGATACTTGGTCTTCTCTTTTAGAAAGCATTAGAAAAGTAATATTTTCATTGACCTTTCTCTTTCTATTTTGTTTTACTTCAGTAAGCTGTTCAAAGTTATAGGTCACAAACTTTGTAGAATAATATACAGGTATAAGGAATGCTGCCAGCTAGAAGTACAATGCTTCAAGTCATCATCCTTCAAATACTTGCCAAGTATAATATTTACTTCTGTAAGGATCCTGTGATTCCAGGTCAGATAAGAAATTTGTTTATTGTGAACAGCATGAAAGACAACTAGTGTATGTTCTGTGAGGAGACCCGGTTGTGCAGATTCAGTAGCCTACACAGTAGTTTCGTTTGATGTTAACTTGTCCTGTAATGAGACCTGAGCTTATTACGTCATTACAAGGAGAGGATAAAGATACCCAAATGTAAGTTTGTGTCATTATGTGAGTCTGCATTATTTCTGCCTTCATTTCATTTATTAAGGGCATTGAGTCATGTTTGCAAAGGACAGGACTCGTGTATATAATTTTTAAAGATTTCCGTAAATTAAAAAAAGGAAACAAACTAATCATCTCATAACAAAGTAATATCAACTCTTGCTCTCTATCCCAGCATGAGAATTATGTTAAATAAACAGGCCTCAAACTCTACCAGGCTAACAGGGAAATGCAAGCTCCTTTACTGGAACTGTCCCTGAAAGTGCGTTCACTAAAGATGATGAACTGTAGTGTCGATCTGTTCCAGCAAGCCACGCGGTATCTCCTCCTGTGATGATGCGGGAGGGAAGAGGTAGTGTCTCGGGTAACTGTCTCACACAACATTATACGTCAGAGCATTGTAAATCAAACTGAAGTTCTTTGGCGGGATTTAATTTCATTAATTGGGAACGAGATTAATTTAGTCTTGTTTCTTTATTGACGTGTCAGAAGTGAATCATCCTTGAGATCTGTGAATGTATTTATCATGCATAAGTATTCACCAAATAGTTGGAGTGAATAGTTTTTACAGGAAGGATGGTTCACAAACTGTATGCTGTTTGTTATTCATAATTCCTGGCATGTGATGATCACCCTGCTTCTGCTCTCTGACTGGATAACTGAAACATTTTAACAGAAAAATGGTGGGGAGAAGGCCAGCACATTTTTGGTACAAAATTGCTAAACTTCTGAAGTGCATAAATATTGTGATGGATGTTTGGTACCTGAGTATTACTAAAAAATGAATGGCACAGCCCCGAGAATTGCAACATACTGATTTCAAGTTATTAATTTGATTATATATGCGTGAGTCTCTATTTTCAGTAGAGAACCTGCTCCACTCAAAATTTTGAATAGCAGTCAAGCATGATTAGAAGGGTAGTGAAATTGTCAAAGGGGACTCAATTAACTACTGTTTGCATTTATATGGAGTAACAAACTGGGAACAGGTAGGGTCTTTTTAATTTTTTGTAGAGTCACTCCAGATGCTGGAGTGCTAAAATACATCAGTATGTCTCCCTGAAAGCATGTTCAGAACAGTTTAGAAACTCAGTGAATCTGTAATCTGCACTGGCTTGTTTATGCTAACTGTATGGAAATGAATGGCATTTTTACAACTGATTTCTGCGGGACTTCCTGCAGCGGTGCTGCACAGGAAGATAAATAGGATGTGGTGCTTGGTACCTCTAAAAGAGCAGCATATTGGAAGGGAGCCTCTATATTTTAACTGGTGCAGCAACATACCAAACTCAAACTTTATGATTTCTTGGCACAAACTCTATAGATTAAGTAACAAAGCATCTGTTCTTCAATATTTAAGTTTAGCATAAGGTCCCATTCTCTTCTTTTCTGCACACTAACAAATGAGAAGGGAATTGTACAAACTCTGTGTAGATGATGTGGGAGAGTAACCTTGAAAATATGCAAAAAAGAGTGAGCTTCTCATTTAACTGTCAGGTTTTGTGCTCATTTCAAGTGCCTGACGTGTATACAGTATAAGATTGATGGGCTGTGTTCCTTGCCAGCATAACTGTAGGTAGATCTACACCAACAAAAAAAGACCTGGCTTATATATATATAAAATGAAATCAAGAACTTTAAATCATACTCACAGTATGCCAGACTGAAGCAGTACTTAATACAACGTTTATAATTTCAGCTCGTTCCCCAGTTCCCAGGGAAGTTTACAAACAGGGATAACATCGAGGGCCTTGGTCTGGGAGATAATTCCCTCACAAAAGCAGGATGTGCGACACACAGCCCGGCTGCTCAGCAGGGGCACAGGTGACTGGGAAGGTGCGAAAGGCTGAAAGAGCGTGTTCCTTGGTGCCAAGGAAAGCAGCGGTGCCCGAGCAGGTCTGTGCATGTCCTGCATTCCCCCGCATCCCCTGCTGGGCTCCACAGGAGGTGAGGTGAAATGTGCCGATGCAAGGAGTTGCTTAAGCGATCGGGAGAAAGTACCGAGGATCCACGTAGGGGTGACACTGCTAGCACTCACTGCTGCAGCTCGGTGTGCTAGAGGGACTGCGCTGCTTTGGGATGGTACTTTCCACTGTCTGTCCCAAAGGACTTGTTTTTGTATAGGCATCCCACCCTGAAAGGAGCACGGCGATGTCAAAGTGGAGATGGGAACGGGTAGGAGAGAGCTGTTCAGGAGAAGAATCCATCTGGTGTATTCGGAAGGGCATTCAACAAGTGCATAGCTGGCTTTCTGTGCTTTTGCAGAGCTGCATTTCTTGATTTAAACTGTTCAGTTGTGTCTAGAATTTAAATTCAAGTGCTGAGGGGTATATTGGAGGTGGGAGTAACTGGGAAAAGTTGCAGCATAATGCAACAGGCTCAAGCTGTTAGGACAACTCTTTGTGATTCAGCACAAACCAGGAAAAAAAAGTAGCCTTATTACATTTTTCAAGAAACTCAGATGGTCTGTGATGAGACTGAAGATGGAAGACATCTCTGTCTCCTCTGAGGCCCAGCTATGGGTACAGGTAGGCCAGATTTAGTGATCAATGTATCACTGATACATTTCAGAGCGGATTTTATTTTCCTTTAATGCTCTTTAAAAAGTTGTTATATTTTCAATTGTTTAAACAATAGACTATGAAGAGTAAGTGCCTCACCTTTGCATGTTACATCTGGACAAAGTTGCCTGTAACTAAGAGAATCATCTATCTGAGAACTGTTTGTGTAAGACTTGTAGCCATCTTAAACACCTTTAAATTCTATGTGCATGTTCTACTTGAATATTTTTACATGTGAAGGATGATCTGATATCTGCCTGTTGAGCCTGCATAGCCGCCATGCAAAGCCTTGAAATGTTACAGCGGTGAACTTGAGTTGTGAGT